GAGAGCAAATGACTTTTTTACATTTAAATATCAATGAACACTATTTAGTAGTCTAAGTTGTAAATAGTAAATATTATTATAGTTTTCTTAATCTTTTTATGAAATTTATCATATATTATAGTTTTCTTATAACTCATTTATGTAAATCTCACCGTTTATTCAGATTTTTTTCTAACTGCAAAGAAGTGAAAATAAACCATTATTATTATCATTATTTTACAGTTTGACTCCATGTATTTTGCTTGCTTCAGTTGAACCAATCGATAATTACGTAGGGCAATCCATATTCGCGCGACGTTTCCGTTTTTTCCTTGGTTGTTGTTGTTGTTGTTTTTTTTGTTTGTTTCCGAGTCATATAATAAAAAGTTTATTAACCCGGCCCGTTTGCTGGGTCTTTATGGTAAGATATCAGACGTCGGTCTTTTATGTACGGCGGTTCTCGCCGCGCTTGGCCGTACTGTCAAGACCTCGGTCTGATATTTGACCATACAGATCTCGCACTCGGTTAATAACCCTTTTTAAATACAGTAAAAACCCGCGTATAAGAACAAGTGGATTAAGAACACCCAGGCCTGATTTTAGAAAATAAAGTACCATTTATATAAGAACACATTCAGCCTGAAAAATGAAAGTTGTTTTTATATATGGAAAAATATCAAAGATCAACACGACTTAACATTGCACACATAATAGTTTCGCGCCAATTATATGTAACAAAATATTAAACAAAATATWAATATGTACTGTTACATTGATTTCATCTATTGGTAGCCTAGTATGTTCCTTATTTTTAGAAAACTTTTTCAAGAACACGTACAGGCTGATTTTGCAGATTACAACAGTTTAATTAAATAATAACCAAATCAGCCTGAACCGCCAAAATAGGTGTTGTTATATGCGGGTTTTTACAGTATTTGCTCAATATGTTGTGGTTTTGCACACACGACATTAGCTTTTGAAACATTTTATGGGTGGCAACACTGAACCTAGGCTCAATAACTAAGTATTGAAGTATGTGGAACAAATTTACGCATAAATATTTTTTCAATGGTATCTATAACGTAATAAAACGAGTCCCTTTACCTTTAGAGCGTTTACGCCTTTTAACATATGTCTTTGTCTCTCCTACTTAGTTTCCACCAGAATTCCACCAGGACCTCTTTTGCTTTTGTCGATAGTCTAGCAATCAGTGTTTCACAGCGATCGTTTGCAGTAGCAGTTTTTAGGTGAAGTTACTAGTCGCATGCAGTCCCACAGAGCGGAAAAACGACTACGCATGCGCGGCGCCAGCTAAATCCAATATGGCGGCCGTTAAGCTGCTGAAAAGTGCTCTATGGAAAAATTGCTTTTAAACCGAAGCATATAAACTTTTAAGTTTATAAAAACAGCTTCTTAAAAAAGCCGATTTTCGATGTGTTGTCAACAGATCGGCAGACGGGGGAGAATGCGATCAAAACACCGAAATAGAACGCGATTTTTTGGCGAAGTCGATAAAATGCGTTCAAAAAGACTACTCACTCCGAAAGATAAATGTCTAAGAAGTTTCCAGGGGGATTCTCGACCACAGACAAAACATTCTTGGCGGTTTAAAAGCAATTGTTCCATAGGGCACTTTTCAGCAGCTTAACGGCCGCCATTTTGGATTTAGCTGACGACGCGCATGCGTAGTTGTTTTCCCGCTYTGTCATGCAGTCCTAGACTGCRCATTGTTTKTTATTCCTGTCCACTTTTCRGAATATTTTTTTAACGACCGTTGAAATCGACAATTCGGGCTCAATCCAGTAATGYCTACGGTCGTTAAAAAAACACTCCGAAAAATATTTTATTGACGCAAATACTTCAAAGKACATTCACCTTTATTATGGACAAAAACTTTGGACAAAAATTGTCTTCTGCATGACAATCGAGTGCAAGTACTGGTGGAATTCTATTTAGACTTATATTGTCTCATCGGATATCATGTTACATATGAATTGATGCCCTGTCTACCTTTTTCTTGAATTTAATGTTGTTTATTTAAATAAAATATGTTATACCTTGTTTTATCAGAGAGCTACTCAAAACRCTTYCACATCCCRTATTTCGTATTTCTTCGAGACACCCTGAGCTATGTAGCATTACTTATGCTTCATATTGCTGTGTGTGTACAGCCGTCTGGTCTACGATTAAGTGTTCTGGAATGGTTCATCATGGYGTTCTTTATTGGAAGGTTTATGCAAGAAGTTGATCAGTCAACATCAGAAAGAGATGAAATACACGATTTAAAAACACGTTACTCAAAGTGAGTACTATTTTATTGTTAGAGTGCTTTTACATCTGGTAAAGGCTTGAAAAATTAGTAATGCTAAGTTTCTAAAATTAAATGAATCCTCTGCGTTTACAAGATGTTTTAATACGACTCTAGATAACTATTACAAATTTAATAACATTGTTCAGACAGTGCTGACATGAAATAGCATTTGTAGTACTATAAAATGTATGATCTTTTTTTGGAAGTCTTACTTGGTTATATCGTAAAACTGTAGACAGCTTTTACCCGTTATTTTACACACTTTTCTTTGTGTGTAGAATTGCTTTAGATTGAGGTTTTGATGAAAAAAGTTTATTCATTTAGCAAGCAATGTCAATTTTAGATTGTTAAAAGATCTGATCTGAACACACTTGTCCGATTATTGTCTTGATAACTAGACTTCAAAATCTGAAAATCAACATCACAACATTGCATTCATCTCCAGCAAGACATAACTTCCAAACTAATAGGCACGAGTAYCCTGCAGCCCTGTCTGGCCCTGCTGTATACCCTAGAGTCAAAATTCAGTTACAGAATTCTTTGAAACATAACTGAATCTCCAGAAGTTTTTTAAAAGAGTCATGYCATCTAAATGCATTTRTTTTTTAAGTGATTTTTGGAACAAACTAGATGTTGTTACGATAATCTGGTACATCGTAACTTTTATTTTCCGCATGGTCACATGGTCATTGACGTCACAGCTCATTGGGAATGAGTGGCTCGTTGTTACTTCCTATTTGTATGGCATTAACGCTGGTTTGCTAAGTTTGAGGGTCTTTGGACAGATAATGGAAGTGAAACAAGCAACTGGGACAAAGCAGATTGCCTTAATGCGCATTATCAATGCCGTGTTTGTGATCCTTGTGCAGATGGTGGCCGCCATTACAGGATTTTCTTTGATACTAACAAAAATCTACGTCAGTGAGATTTCATACGTGGGGAATAAAACATCTCATGGGTGAGTCGATATATTGTTAACCTATTGTGCTTTGCAGCTCCCCTTTGCTCCCTTGCGGATTTTGAGGGAATTTATAATGGTAATTGAACTGAGTGGAGTGCAATTTTGTCTGAAATCAAACGCTCACTACAAAATCGCCCGACCGCTAAGTTCACTTACCACTTAACTATGTCCATTTTGAAAACCTAACCGGACCGGAAAGCCTTTTACATCTCATTTACAATTCATAAACTGACAGGTGATGTCACTTCACTACAGGGGAAACAACGAACTTGACAAATTTCAAACGAGCAGTTTGTGTTCAAGTTTTATTTCGGTTTGATTCCTCATAAAATCAAACTATGGAGACCCCTTTCGTCTGTCGCAAAGAAGATCTAAGCCATAGCAAATTAATGGTGACAAAATGTCCGTGATTACTCAAGCGTAACCTGACAGTCCATATTCTTCGTTTGCATGTGATGTCATAGTCACGCAAAAAATCTCGCAAAATCCAAAATATTTTTGCTAATTAAGAGCTTTTCTTACAGTATGTCTTAAATATATTTCTAGATAGTGTGTATGGAAATTTTCAGACGAATTCAACGATTTGGTGGCGAATCACAAAAGTTTTAGTTTGTGCGGAGTTTAATTTATTCTACTTTTAGATCGTAAACAAAAACTTCGAAATTGGATAAATCATTCTTTCAACTCCGTAAGAACTTACTTAAGGTGATTTTTCTTTGAAATTAGGCCATAATTGAACAAAATTTACAAAGGAAATCAAGGAAACCAGAGTTTTTGAAGTCAATTTGAAACCAGCCGCCATCTTGGATGATCAAAGTTATCATCCAAGATGGCGTTCCCATACAAATTAACCAAATATTTCAAATCTTTATTCGCTGATATCTTCATCAGAAAGTAAGCTGCAAGCCTTCAAGATCATATTCTAGATAATCTGACTATGCTCTTTGTGACTCGCTACTTGGTTTTTGAAAATAACGACTAATAAATTTTCACTTTGGGGGTTGCACACCAAGAATGAAGTGTCAAATTCGAAAAATATACAAACAAAAAAACTGGGTTGAATGCCAATGTTTTCAGGGATTTCTCAAGATTGTCGACCTCTAGTTTCCAGCCTCATACATGTTCAAACGCGCGTTAAAATCCCCGCTCTTGGTCCTGCTTTGAAAACAATTCATCAAAATCCCGACCCCCGGTGCAATCTTGCTGCTAAAAGCACGTTAAAAACGCGTCACGTCCCCGTACAGTGTACCGCTAACCCCGGCAGGGATTTCAATTGACTAGTGCATTTGCAGTGAATGAACACAGAGCCAGACAACATAACTATGAAATTTAACCATCTCTCAACTATGTACTTTTCTTTTAATAGAGTCTGTTTATCATCTGAAGGACTTCTTTGGTGAGTCTTTGAAAAGTAAATTCCTTCCTCCTCTTACAGTTCATACTCTCAATAACGCAGCATGAATATAGCCTGCTATTTCCGCCGGTTACGATGAACAAACAATTATTTCCTCTTTTTTAACTCACTCTACATACTATACCATAATTTTTCTATCCTTTCTGAAAAGAGAGCTTCTATTCTTGTTGTTTGAAATTGTTATTTGGTCAAAAAATAAAAACACAACAAAATGTTATCCAGTCACGCGTGATACCTGATTCTTCATTGAATTCAGTCAAAAAGCGTACGATTCGCACTTTGTCCATCACTCTAGCTGCTCTTTTTGCAATCACGCCTGTGACTTAAAACCTGATAACACTGATCCCACATTGTTATCGCTAGCGCAATTATCTACTCGTTATTTATTATGTTACCCATTGCCTGTCATTGTTCTCTAGGCCAGCCACCGCTGGCCGCCCCATTGCCGGATTAGCTCGCTAGTGGCAATTAATTTATTTAAAGATTAAAAGATTACGCGAAAAAATATAATCATGCAGCAGAAAAAGCCACACAGACACATTTTGAGAAATCCTTCAGGGAAAAGAAAACAAAGGAGTTATCCCTACCACGTGGCGCAACCTATAGTGTAACAAGAATACAAGCTCTTTTCATTGAGGATAGAAAAATGATATGCAGGCTTTGTTACAATATTTCCGTGAAGGAGAGATCACAACTTACTTATATATTTAGGGCTATTATTTTGTTATTTGCTTTTATTCCAGTTGGTGGCACTTCTTCGAGTTCCTTGCATGGTCTACCATGGGTTCTAGCGATCAAGATTTGCTAACATTGACAACTGGTGTGTCAAACTATATCAGYAAAACCATTTACATGTTGTTTCTTATTGTTGCTGCTGTGATGATCATGAACATGTTGATCGCCCTTTTATCAAATATTTATCAGTTGGTAGAGGTAAGTACAAATTGAAAATAGAAAAAAAATAACAACAAAAGTAACCATGAGGAGTTACTAACAAATAGTGTCAATTTTATGACTTTACAAGCTCACTTGTAGTTGTCAGGCAGTCAGCTGTTATACCTGGAAGTTCCAATTAATATTATTTCTAGTATTAGCCTTTATATTATTTATGTGTCTGTTCGGGACAAAGTTTTGTTGGTGATACGTTAACTGTCTACTACTCATTCTGGAAACCAACATTGCTAGTTGTTTCTTCTTAACAGAATGATTGAAAGTATATAAAATCGCTAGCAGATAAAAAAGCAGTGTTTATAATGCAAGTAGAAAAATGAGTTAACTAGTTATTTTGTTTATTTTTAGGAAAATGCACGTGCAGAGTGGTGCTACAGAAAGGCGTGTCTTATCAAGACWTATTGTAATTACCACACAGTACCAGTCCCCTTCAACATCATTACGCTCTTCATCAAGCTGATTTGTGTGATTCTTTCAAAACTCGGCCGAATCCAAGCATGTTTTGGGAAGCCGTTTACGTTATGGCAAGAAATACGAAAAGCAAAACAGAATGAAACAAAAAATGTAAATTTATTACTAGTACAAAACAATACTTGCTTTTATCTAATTCAGGGGGGGGAGGTGGTAAAGAAAATGTTTAAGGGTTTGTGCTCGTTCGAAAAACCAGCCGTCATCAAGTCAAGTAAAAAGTGACGTTGACTCGACAAGGGTGATCGCCATTGTAGTTGCAKTAATACTGGAATAACTGATTACGATTTATTATTCTAAGCTTGCAAGTGTTAATAACAGTGAACAAATTAAATAAGGATTGTGACTTACCGCAGGGCATCGGGCAGAACACGCAGGAGTGCGCGCAATATCGGCTAAAATGATGGAATATTTACGAATCTGCACCTGGAGTTAATGAAGGTTACATTGGGTGCTGTCAAATATATATACCTTTATTTTGTAGAAATTGATGAAAATTGGCGAGCAGCTCAATAAAGAGTATCTGGCTGAGTTTGGTGATTTCTTCCCCCATCAAGGTTTGTAATATGTCATTAAGCAGTGTGACAAGCACGCATATACAAACCAAAATGCACTCAGATTGTGCAAACACCATGTTAACTCATTGTATCATCGCTAGAGGAGTTTGGCTCGCATTAACAAGATTGTGAACATTGCCGAGTCTCATCTTGCTAAATCTGAGCTAAAAGCCCGGGGGGGTACTCCCATATATTTGCTATACGGGGACGTGCCGCTGGCCAGGGTATGGTTTTTGGCTTTGCTGTCTTAAACAGGGTATACATTTCACCCGAAATTGTCTTAAACAGGCTCTACAATTTAGATAAAAAACCGATATCATTTTTTTGTGTGTCTTGGACAGGGTAATATTTTCATTAAAAAAACACCGTAGAAATAGTAGAAATACCGTTTCACTGTCCCAGGATTAACGACCATTAACGTGTTATCAAAAACTTCTTACTGTCTTTGATGGATGTCAGTATAATATTGCAGTTTTGATGGTTGCGGCGTAGATAGCTATTCCGCCCTATTTTTCCGATTTGTCTGAACGGGGTATGGATTTTTACTTTTAAGTGTCTTAAACAGGGTCAGGGATTTAGACCGTTGGCTGCACGTACGGGGTCGAGTACCTCTCGGTCATTTGTACGGACCTCGCTGCGCTCGGTCCGCACGGCATAACCTCGAGCCAAATATTTTCCCGTACGGCCCTCCCACTCAGTCAATAAGTACATAGTTTCCTGACTTAGATGACACTTCTGTTCCGTCAATAATAAAGTCCTTTGATGCGTAAGCGATCACACACATGAGCCCATTTTGCAAATGATATAATACACTAAATCTTTTGGTTACGGTAACAAAGAAATCAGGATAAGCCAAAATGGATATAGGTTTCTGTCCATCGTGTTGATGTTTCAGAAATAACGGTTTTTTTCCCCAAATGTTGATCGGTCAAACATTTGCGCGTGCAATGCTTGCACTTTCCAATGCGTTTATTAAGGGAATCAATGGGATAGACGTAGGCTGACTGAAACAATCTTCAAGCCCTTTTGGAGCAATTTTGACTCTCTTTCCGAGTTGAACTTGGAAAAGTAAAAACTGCACGCATTATAGAGTAGGTTTAACTCTTTTAAAGATACGGAAGTACTGCTCTATTCACCATGACAATAGGCGTGAATTTTTGCGTTTTGTATAGACTTGAATTCTGAGTCATTATTTTTATTATAGGGTTGGTCCTTATTAGGCCGACAGGTCTGTGAGCTATATATATTGTTTCGTGAAAACCTCCCTTCTCGGCATTAAGAAAAAAACTCGCGCGAACAAAGAAACAAACGAAAAAAATGAAATTTAGCATTATGAGTATCAATATTTATGACTTTCTTTATCTCTACAAAGAATCGTTGGAAGAAAAGATGCTAAAGAGAAATCAACGGTTGCTGAGGCACATTGTGAGAGAAGTTTATTTAGAGGAAACTCAATTAAGCAGAACATCTGTGAGTATCTATGATAATGATCAAATAACATTTCGGAGTGTCTAAACGTCAGGCAGTCTGAGGTTTAGTCCCAGGACTAACGTCAGGCAGTCTAATGTTTTCTTATAAAATCGTCGGAACAACTCTAATTTCAATTAATACAACAAGGGAAATGCGATAAAGACCGAAATAATACTGTTCGACAAGTTTCAAACAAAAGCACGGCATTTTGAGATTTTCGACTAGAGCCTGAAGAAATTCGAGATCTATTGTGATACAAACAACGTAATACACTTTGTTATTTATTTATTATCTTCCTAATTTGATGACGACTCATGACGATCCATTCATCAAATATTATTTTTATTATTGTTATTATTATCATTGTTTTATATTTTTGCAGAATAATTGGGTCGTTCTTGATAAAGAACGACCTTTAACGGTGGAGAATCAAAGAATGTATATGCTCAAAAAATGTTCTAAAGATGATCACATCGGTGAAAACAATGAAAATTCTTGTATTCATTCTGTACGTCACAATAAAAAATTGTCGAAGGAGACTTCAGGATTCGAGGTAATGCTAGGCTTTAATGCCGGTCACTTTTTCAAGGAAATATCACTAGAAATGTTCTCTAGAAACGAAAGGAAGCAATTAATTTCTAGGCCAATTTTCTGAATCTCAGGTCCTTATCGAATCCGCTGGTAGTAAACGTTATCTTGGAATAGGACTAACCAGCGAGAACTATGAAAATACTTTTCCAGGGAAGAGCGACAACAGCGTTGGATACATCGTTGGATATGGAGAACAACCCGGTGGTTAGTAAAATATTCATATAATATTTGGAATGTAATTAACAGTTATTCCACGTACAAGAGCTGGGAGCCAACGAGACAATATATGATAAACTGCTTTATTCACTGGATCATGAAAAAATATCTTGAACTCTAAAGAGCTGAATAAGTATTAATTTTTCAATTAAACGTCGTCTATTATGTACGCGCTGATCACAGTCAAGTCAGTGTAAAATGTCACTTAGAAAATTGTATACAACTCGGCAAACTAACCTACTTGTAAAAATACGTTTTGAACAAAGACAGGCGCGTAGCGTCCTTTACGCATATACGCACGTGCGTACTAGTGGCAAGGAAGTATTTAACTTAAATATGTTCTCAATGCTCCTAAAAACACTGGAAATCGAATTTCCAAGAGTTACAATTCCAAAAATTAATGGGGGAGTACCCCCCAAACCCCCATTACTACTCAAACATGATAGTAATCACTTGAAATTTTTAGTCTCACATCTCATCGATGAAATCGACCCTTTCCCGTACACTGGTGATATGATAGGCTGCCGAGTATTGTTTGACGATGAAACGGACGATGGGTATTTAGTACAATTAACCCGTAACAGACGACTGGTTGGAGAAGTTCGGGCAAAACCCTACAACCTCTTTCCTTTTGTGGCGATAACTCATCCAGACGTCAAAGTGCTATTCAGGGTATTTATAATAACGTTAGAGAGTTATTGAGAGTTTTAGCATCACGTTGACGGCAAACGGCTAACGGCAGAGCTGAGCCAATGACCTAAGAATTTCGTGCCCGACCTTGTGCTTTTGGTAGTCATTTGAAAGAGCGGCTTTTCACGATTATGGCAACCTCAAAGTAACCCGCTCTCGGGTTAAAACTGCAACGTTAAACTCAAAAACGCAGGTCACGTGATCTTTTCTGCCGTTTGGCGTTTGCCGTGAACGTCATGCTAAACCTCTCTATTAATCACTGTTACTGCAAACGCTAAACGTCAAATTGGCTTTTTTGCTTTGTCTCAAAATTTTAAACAAACGTAAAAACGATATGAAAGGAATAGTGATGCGCTTATGCACGAAAAAGTGATCTATTTTATACACAATCGCGAAAGAACGGAGAGTTAATACATGCAGAAAAACAGTGATCACGTGATCAGTTTGGACGTTTGGCGTTAGCCGTAAACGCGTATCTAAAACTCTCTGTTTTATCGGATTCAACGGGAATAGCCGCTGTTTTATTTGACAGCCGGTGAACAAAGACCTTACCGAAGACAAAAGAAATTACGAGAAAATGCTGTAATTACTCTTTTGAAAAGTCTCCTTTAGCAGCATTGTGAATATATAAACCGGATTCTGCAGCATCGTCAGAGACAAGTGAATCTATGTTAAATACGAACAAGAGCGACTACGGGTATGCTAATGGTCAATATAACTCATGGCTTCCCTCGAATGACATGGAAAATATCCAACAGAACCAGCCGATGTTTAGAGTTTCGTTGTAATTACAACTTTCACTATTTTTTCCAAATAGAGCTAGAGATGCAATCCCAAATGGCCTAAGGATTAAGCTTTCCGAGGATACAGTGTTAGACTTAAATTAAAAAAAAATCAAAATGAAACAAAATGTTTTCGTACTTTCTTTTTTGTGTGGTAAGTTAGTTTCGTAAAAGAATCCGTTGTAAAATAAGACGGTCGTTAATTTTTTCTAAGTGTCAGGGTGGGTGTGGGTGCTCTTTTGACTCAATCAGTCTCAACGCTCTCCTCCTGATAATTATTGTGCAGTCCTTTATCTACTCTCGAAGATGGTGGTCAGGTTGTCCACTGTCTGGATTTCCGCCAGACATTTTTACCAAATTTTGCGTATCTTCGATTGCTAATAATTCCGCAACCAAGCGCTCTACAATCCTAAATTTTTGTCAAACTATGTAGTTTTTTTTTATTCTCTAAAAGGACATGAATGTCATCAGTATTAATGCGAGTAAAATAAAAATTGTGATGACGTAACTGCAACCCAAGAATAGTCTATTGCTGTTTCTATATTATATTCATGCACTGCATCTGAAACACAATATAAATGATTAAGCAAGGTTGCTTGGTCCCTAATGCATAACGTATTTATGCTGATTATCTGTATACATCTAGTTTGTAAAAGATGATCAGTCAACTTACAACGAAAAAGATGATTATTCAAATCAAAAAGAGATCAAAGCTTTAAGTCAGGAAATAGAAGAAATGAAAAAAGTCTGTCAACAACTTCAGAGTCAAAACGAGGAAATAAAGGAAATAAAACAGTAAGTTAAAGAGACTGAATCCATCATATTATGTTTGATATTCACCACAAATTATTATTCATATAGAAAATCATTCAAAGTTGTTGCGTAAAGTAGACTCACGTTATACTTCCAGATAAAAGTTTTGACCGGCTTTGTTTATTGTTTTTCATCGAGATTGAAACTTGGCACGCAAACAATTTGACCATAACACCATCTGGTTGGTTCGTACTAGTCACATGTGACTGTACTGGTATCCGCCTGTACTTTCGATTTGTAAATATACATGGCGTCGCCATCTTGGATAATTCGTTCAACTAATCAACGCGACATGAAAAACAAGAAACATCGAACCTAAACTTGTACAATGTTGCGCGCCAAATTGATGTTTTTTGTATCTCGTATTAAGCCACCTTTAGTCTTTTGACATTTTGAGGAAAATATAAAAAACAAAATAGTTGCAAGATGTTCAATCACTGCCTAGGTTTATGAGCAACCGGACAGTGAAGTGGTTAAGACAATCCTTTGTCGGAAACAAATATTTGCGTTCCATGAAGGTGTTCCTAGAGATGAATGAGATATATATGCAGCTGTAATATTATATAGTGTTATCTGAATAAGATGTACTATGCAAATGGCAGTATTTAGAGCAATCGAAGCAATTATAAATTCTTTCGGTTAATCAACCAATGTACTAGATTACGTAAAGCGCTAGCATGATGCTCTCYAACCCTATCATTCAGCATAGAGTTTGTGATCATCCGTTGCGAAACTACCTATGACTACCTATGACGCATCCGTTATGAAACTACCTATGGCACCTGATACAAAAAATTGCTGCATGATTCCCCGTGAGATGATTCTAGTATAGTGAATAACCAGATGGTGAAATACTCTTGAAATATGCTAATGGGTGACGTCATGGAAAGATCATAACATATATGAGTTTTGAAGTTGTCACATAAAAATAGCTTCAACACTTTAAATTTACCGCAGGTGCGATGCATGGAATACCCTATCACCACATGGCGTTTTTTGAAAACATTTTTGAGCGACTACTTCGAAGTTCGTCAGTATATCTAATGAATCTTCTTTGCTCAAAGGCGCAACATTTTTGAGCGACTACTTCGAAGTTAGTCGGTATATCTAATGAATCTTCTTTGCTCAAAGGCTCAACACTGAAATATAGGGATTTTGGATTATTTAGTTAATAGAATCCGTTCACAGAGAAGCAGAAATTACAAACTGAAATTATTGTGTCAGGCGTTATACATACTTTAAAAAGCGTATTGTCTCTGAGTCTCAAAATGATATGCCTCTTTATTTCTAGAATGCTTCAGCACGTCTATCGTAGTATGCTGCCATCTGATAGAAAAGAGTGGGAGATTTTTGTGTAGATTTCTGGCTGTAAGTTTGTATCAGAACGTATCAACAAACATTGCGCAATCCTTCCTTCGCCTCGAAGATAAAATAAACATTTACCAAAGACTCACAAGTTTAGCAAATTATCCAACCGAAACAACTTAACAGTAAGCTGCACTGAGGTGCATGCCAAACATGAACAGCACCGTTTAAAGCATTGGTTTACCAAGCTATAGTCTCATACCAACGTCAGCCGAAACAAAAAATCTACAATTTGGAATGGCTGATCTGGAATTCGGCAAGATATAAAACGCAAAATTAGTCATCTTTCAACAACCACAAAACTATCCTACAAAACCACGTTAAGCAAACACGTATGGGACTTGAAGAACAACAACATCGAATACCAGATAAAATGGCAAGCATGCTAACTCATACTATGGAAGTCCAACAAGGTGCAGCCTGTGCCTTGCTTAAAAAACGTGCAAATAATTCTAATGGAGAAGAATCAAGTACTCCTTACCAAAAGAACTGAATTAATATCAAAATGCAGACACAAGAATAAACATTACAGTAGTGTGCACCACTTACCACTATTTACTACAAAATAGTGTTAGTTAAACAATAGAATTAGCATCATTTAGCAGTATTTAGTGGTATTTATGTTGCACAGTTTTAGTGTTTGTACTATAACCACGTAATGCGTAAAAATAAGTTAACTGCAAAGTACTTTTAACCACGTGTATATATAACCACTTTTACTCCGACGAAGGTTAACGTCCGAAACGTCAGTAAGTTATTTCACAACTTTTTTTACGGTGTTAAATTTATCTTTTTACATAACTGTTTCACGTGTATATATATAGTTTATATGTACATGTAGATTATTATTTTCTATAATTACTTAGGATATATGTCTTAAACGTCAGGTTATTGTGGTTACTGACAGTAAGAACAGAAGAATCACAGTTTGCTATATATTCAATCAACTACACCATCAATGTCGTAGTTTAAAGTCGCATTTTGTGTGACTGGTATTCTTATAACTGACCAGTGAATCATATTACGAGGTAGCTTTGTTGACGTTTTTAATCATTGTATTCATTTTGATATAAAGTTAAACAGCTGAAACAGCACTACCAATATAGGAATGGATTATATTTGACTTAAA